CCCCCCCCGCCCTTAACAGGCCACCACCCCAAAAAAGCCTTTGCATGTGTGGGCTTAATTTATGTCGAGCGATGCTAGGCTGTATTAGTCTAATGACACCTGCCCACGATTATTACTTTTCCTGTTGTAATGTGCATGTAGAACAGTATCACACTGTAGACATCTAAAGTTAGGAGAGAAAACACTGTGGGCTTCTACTTTTGATCTCATTGAGGTCTGGTTCTAGCAAATGGCTGGGAAGAGAAGTAGGAATGAATCACACCTGCATTCTAAAATAAACAACTGAAAAGGATAAATATAGAAATTCATGTTTCTTGACTACACTGGAACTCTAGTTGTCTGCAGCAGATTTTGGCTTTAAAATAAATGAATCCTGTCACCAGCAACAAGGACGACGCAGATGTACCCTCAGTTTGTTTTGAGGAGTGCATGCTACTATATTAGCATTCTGTGTATAGTGTTTCTCATTAATTATTGTTACAACTACATTCAGATAGATGCAACATTGATTATTGTATTCACTCTCTTCAGCATATGGAACATACTTCCTCTGAAGCATTCTAGACCTTGGTTGGAAGCAAAAATGCATCTCCATTGTGATGTAGTTGAAATTTTGATATTTGAAATTTGTTGGTTTTTAATAAATCCTGTGTCCTCCTGGCAATCCAAGCCCAGATTTAAATTGGATTTTAGGAGCCCATAATCTCAGGACTGCTGAGAATTGAGAAATTTCATATGCTCATGTACTATGTTTTTATAATTTTCACTTACTAGTGTGAGGAGAACAGATAAATAAACCTTTCTGATATGGGAGGTGATGTATAACAAATGAAGTGATTTGAGACTTTGCAGAAGTTTACTTTATTCAGTCCACTTTTAAGAATTAAAGGAATCCCCAAAACAAGATTAAGTGAGGCTGGGTAGAGAAAATAATATACCTAATCTATTAAGGATTGTCAATTTTGCTCTTGCATTGAAGTTACACAAGCAATGAAAAACTGAGGGGAAGAAGATCCCAAACCCAAAGATTATACTGAAAATGTTGTTAGAAGTATAGTTTTGAGACTTACAATGTAACATACAAATAGTTTGTGCTATAAATCTGTATCTATTCCCTAAATCACAACCAGGATTGGAAACTCTAGACTATTCCTCAATGTCTTGTGCTGACAGTAGAGAAGTTAGTTGTTTTCTGTGGTCTAGACAGCAGAGGGAGCTGGAGATGCATGCTTATTACCAACGAGTGTTGGTTACCAGTTCTTAAATGATAAGGGCTGCTCAGATCTGAAAATAACCAGATTTATTTACAGGTTCTGGACAGGGTGTCATGTTGGATGCAGTCGTCCACTCCCTGCATTTCTTGCTGTGTTCTATTTATTGCTCTTCTTCAGTGACTTTCTTCTTCACTTGAACTGTTTCTGCTTCATATTGTTGCAACCAGCAAAGGAATTTTTTGTCTTTGTGGCAATACAACCATTCCCAACCACAACAGCCTCAAAATAGCACAAAATATTTCTCTCTGCACTCCTTTTTTTTTTTTAATGCCTTTGAGAAATGACTCATCTTATTTGATGAATTATTTGATAAATTCAGCTAACTGAAAAATCAAGTTGGCTTGCTTTATATTTTGGTTAAATTTTATGTACTGGTGGGTTTCTGCTGCCTTGTCAATTATGGTATGTCTCAGACTAACTCTTTGCCAGCTTTTAAGGGTTTAGTTTAGATTCATAGAAGCTTCTAGAACTGTTCAGGGGAACAAAGCTTCAGTAAAGCACTGTAGAAGAGCAGTAGATCTGTATTCATTGGCCTGTTGTGTTCCTTAGGTTCTTGCAGCAGTTGCTGGTAGGTTAGTAGTTGGGGTGCACTCAAAGTCATCTTCATCATATGTCTAAGCTCAGATGTTAGATGCTGGCTGAGATGCCGGGACAGGTGTTCGCTTCTGCTTGGTTCATTGCAGAACGTGTAATGTGCACAACAGCAATGTGGAACAGACTGCAGATTTCCTGTTGTTGCAGTAGTGCAACTTGCCGTAGGATTTAATAAAATCAAGTTAAAACCTCTTGTTTCTGTAAAATACAAAATAGTGGGTTTGGGAGAGGCTCTAAGTCTTTTTCTGGCTAAAATTTCTGTACGTACCCACATAAAGAAAATGACAGTAAAATCCTACACAAATTTTACATGGATGCTCAAATGCATGTGCTTCCTTTCCTCCCATGTCTGCTCAAAATAAAATTCTGAATGCTAAACATTATTTATCCTAACGAAGACAAGGATAACTGATTAGTTAATGAACTTAACTTTATGAAGCTTACTGGTTTTCTGTCATTGAATACAATTTTTTGTTGTTTACACCAGTGTTGCTTTTTTGTTTGACTATACAGCACTGCTTTTGAGCATAGGTTGTTGGACAGAGTAGACTAATCAGGTGATGTGATGAACTAGAAGATTTGTGTTCTGTGAGTTTTTGGAATTGTAACACGTAGGACACTGAAGGAACACTTCAAGAATGTTGACTCTATTAAAGCATTTCTTTGTTTCATGTAGAAAGCTCTCTGAATAAAATGGAAAACCTTTATCTTCCTATCCTCTCTCTCACTTGTGATTTTTAAAAAAATGGACTTTTGTTAAAAGTAGGGAAAAATGTTGAATACAGATCATTTCATTGAATCAGAAACGCAGAAGGCTGCCACGAAGTGATACGTTAGTCACTGACAACAGTGTGAAGAACAAATCACGTAAGGTGTTATTGTAAGTGAATAAGTCTGAACAAATGTTAGCAGTAGCTGTTTGAGTCCAAATAGTAAAAGGCTCACTAAAAAAAAAAATTAGCTGGATATTTGTAACTAATGGCTGGGTTTTGTGGTGGGTTTTTTTGTGGAGATTTTATTTTTGGTTGGTTGGAGTTTTTTTGACAATGGTGCTGCTATGGGTTCTTCTGAAACTTGCTTTCAGGTATCAGGTGGTTTGAACTTCAGAAATACAGCTGTCCTGTATCTTGACCTCTCTAACTTACTAAAAGGACAAAACAAATACTTTAAACATCTATTCACAGTCAAGGCTGTTAATCGATATTATTTCTTATTGCTGTCTCCCATATTTTTCTCATTCGGTGAATTCAGTCCAAAAAATTTGAAAGGAAAAACAGTGTAATGTGATGGGATGGAAAGAGTATTTACAGAATACGTGAGGAGAGATACTTGAATAAAATACACATTGTTGGTTGCAAGACTTTCTTTAAACCAGCTTGGTGGGTGAAAGCAAAGTTCTTAAGGGTAAACATCAAGAGCTGAAGTGTACATTTTTCTCTGTTGTATGGATTAACGTACTAGTTGCTGCACCCATTTGGGAGAACTGGCTGACATTGTCATGAATGAAATATTCCAAACAGCTGAAAAAATGGTATCTGTTGCTTTACATGTTGATGGACTGCACAGCTGATGACAATTGTGCTTTCAGATGTATTATTCTTAGTGGCTTAGTAAAATACTGTTCTTGGAGTGATTTCTACAGCTAGGAGCTAGAATGAATATAGATGAGTTGCATAGTGAAGGAAACCAACTTAAAACTGAAGTTTTAAAATGGGACTTCTGATCTGAAATGGGAAAGAGATAAAGATTCATCACTTTGGTTCTCTGTGTCACTCTTACTCTGTTGCTTTCATATATTCTGCTTTTACTTTGGCTTACCCTTGTTCAAGAGTGTTTCCTGTTTAGGTTTTCTTCTATGCTGTGCCTGTTGGTCCTTCATCCTTGACTGAGCATGTTAATGATCCTTTTGGCTATGTGTAACTTGTGATTTATGGGGCAAATGTGCTGGATTTCCATACCACTTGGAAATCAAATCGTGGTGTTTAATTTTTTTTCTGGTATGTTTATGAGCACATTGACCCAGTTGTTGAGAAGATTGTTTTGAAATTGAGAACTTTTAAGTTGTCTGATATTACCTGGAAAAATCCTTTAAACTGACTGCATGTGAAGGTACCTTCACTTCCATCCATCTGCTGGAAGAATTTTTCAATTTGCAAGTGCCTTCTAAAGGGATTAAAGAATGTGTTATGGGCAGGCTGGTCTATTGCATCTCTCACACAATGCAAAAGATGCTTTGAATGGTATAAAATTTGACATTTCCAACTTCTAGCTTAGTACAGTTACAGGAGAATTGGGGGGGGGGGTGAACCCAACCCAACCAACACCAGTGTGAATGGCTGATACGCAATTTCAGAAGTGTAGTAGGGAAAATGTACAACTTTGAAACAAAGTAGGAAAACATCATGCTGTAAAGGTCCAGGCTTGTTTTGTAACTACTGAGTAAGTGAAGATGGGGAGATTATTCTACTTGGAACAGTAAGCTTGCGTTGAGTTGTAAGTATATTTGTCTTCAGACAAATAGATGGATTTGGGCAGCAAAAATCTTTCTAAGAACAGAATCAACTTTCCTAGCACCAGTTGCACAGTTTGTAGCTCTTGGAAAGTAACTGTGGGAGCAGTGTGGTACTAGTGTGTGTTTCTAGTCAAAACCCCAGAGTTTTTGAGTTTAAAATGCAGCTATAAAATTTAAAACAATAATAAAAAAAACCCCACTTTCCCCCAATCGAGTTCTTTCAAATTCTTCTTGTGCTGAAGGCTTTTCCAGTCAAGCTTATCTGTACCTCTGCCAGTACAGATGGGTGAGACCTTCAGATTACATCTTAACCCTTGCTATGCCCTTCTTGCGTGCAGTACGTGGGGCGTGCTGTCTGCTGGAGCACGTGGCATGTCTGGAGGCTTTGCAGGGAACCCTAACGGGTCAGTAAGTAGACTTTAGGCATCAGAATTTTTCCTTTTTGCTTTTAAAAAGGCAACACTCCATTTGGGCTGGTATTCCAGGAGTTCGGCAACAAAATACCACCTGTTTAATTTTTGGGTTTGTTTCGCTTTCTTTCTGAGTGTAAATAACCAAAGTCTTGAGGCTGGTGCATATCCTTGAAGGGAGGGTGCAGGTGCTCAAATAGATACGGGCATCTTTTTTGTAATGTTGATCCAATTTTTCCAAGCTCCAGAGGAGGGCAGGAATTTAAGGCATCCTTATACTTAGCATTTATTAGCAGTCTGTAGGTAGCTCTCTCTGTATGCACATTTTCTTGGTTACCCTTCAGAAGTGCTTAATTCTCTCCTGAACGGTTAGGCAAGAGAATCATGTACTAAATGTCATGTCTTAGCCTTTGTTCTACATGCACAATTACAAAAAATCTAGACTTTGGGCAGCAGACCTCTTTTCTGAGGCTGGCTGGAATTAAGGTTTAGCTCTGTGATGGTAAATGGTTAATCTTATTGCTTTCCAGTCCTTCAGAGGTGTAATATTAGAGCTAAAGGTTTGAAATACTAACAGCACTCTGCACTTTCATCAGTAAATGTTCCTGCTTCATTTCATGATGTTCTTGTTTATTTGTAGAGATAAACCTTCGTATTTGTCTTTTTGTAGGGTTTTAAAAAAATACTCGGGAATTCTGATTGGGAGGACTTGGAACAGGTAATTGACTCTAGGACAAACTACAGTGTGTAGGATGTTGATAGGTGGTGGAAGAGGGAATTGAGTAAATTGGTTGGACTGTACTTTGAGGGGAAAGATAAATTTAAATGAAACCCTATAGTCTCATCTCTGGTGTGTTCCATGCTGTAGTTTTTCATCAAGTTAGATACCCATAGGGTAGGGTGGAAAGACCAGATCCATTCAACGCTTAAAGCGTATTTCATTGTTACCAGGAAATATCTTTTTTTTTTTTCTTCGCAAATTATTTAAGAAAACTACCCTACTTTGAGGGGAAAGATAAATTTAAATGAAACCCTATAGTCTCATCTCTGGTGTGTTCCATGCTGTAGTTTTTCATCAAGTTAGATACCCATAGGGTAGGGTGGAAAGACCAGATCCATTCAACGCTTAAAGCGTATTTCATTGTTACCAGGAAATATCTTTTTTTTTTTTCTTCGCAAATTATTTAAGAAAACTACCCTACTTTTTGAGACTTCTCAAATTATTTAAGAAAACTACCCTACTTTTTGAGAGGACAGAATTGCAAGCCTGGTAAAACATTTGATGTCTTCCTGGTATTACCAGCAAACAGTGAGTGAGATGTTCATACATACTGCAGAATACCCAGTGTCTGTTATTTTGAGTCAGGTTTTGTTGCCTGTAGTATTTCCCTTTGTTTTAGAAGGTACAGTCCATCGTCCTTAAACGAAAAGTATTAATTTGTTACACTACAGTGTCTTATTGGTGACTTTTGAAAATCATCTTTCACACACTTTTAGTAGTCAGTCACACTTATTGCTGCAAATTCTTTTTTTCTTGTAAAGGTGGACTTTTTGCAGAATAAATTCATACGGGAATACTAAAAGGCAGTCCCTTCCTGAATAAATCCTGCTCGCAAAACAGATTAGATGATGTTGGACAGGGCTACGGTAGTAACGCTGGACTAAATGCAGCCCGATTTGCCTCATTTGGTGTTGCATCTTCCTGTATCATCTAATTTCTTCTGCTTCAGAGAGTGATTCTGCCCACAGGGTTAGGATGAATGCCAAGTAGTGTGTCAGTGTTTGACTTGGCCTTTCAGATGAGGACAAAGGTAACTTCCAGATCTGCAGGAGCTTGCTATACAATTTTTAAGATATTCTGCCATATTAAATCCTTCTGTTGTTTGCATGTTTCTACAAACTTTAGTTTGCTTCACTTTGGATCTTTTGGGAAACTTAAGTATTGGCTTTCCTGTTCTGAACTTCCCAAGGCAGGTGAGGGTTTTTGGTTTTTAGGTAGAGCCCCTGAATAGGGAACTGCTTAAGTGCTATCTCTTTTTCTTAGAAACAGACCAAACCGAAACACTAACAAACCACTGCAACAGTAGCATGCTTCTGTGAAACTTGCAGAGTGTTTTCACAAGCACCTGTGAAATCACTCTCAACAGAAGGTAGCAGATAAATCAGTTCTTCTAGCAGACTTAAATACAAAACACATTGTAAAAAACTGTAAGCTTCATGATGCTGTAGACTTATTACCCTGAAGTTATGGTTCATAATGGAAAATTGTAACTTCTATGACTGGATTTCTGGTATTGTGTTGCACAGTACCTTATGTCAATATTTTAAATGTCATTCTGAATTTATGTTTCAGGAATTACCAGAAATGGTTCTTTTAAAGTTTTTTCGACCAGAAAACACACCAGTACCTGCAAGACCAACACCTGAGCAGCTTTCTAATCTTATCAAGACAAGTCTTCATTATCCAGAGTCTTTCAATCATTCTTTTCATCAGAAAAGGTTTTTGCAATGTTTTCTTTAGAAACCTTTGAAATATTGTTAATTTGACATAAATCCTGTTGAGAAATGCTATGTGGGTTATGACAGAAAAGATGGAAGTCTGGTATCCAAGGGTGAAATCTTGCTCAAATCTCAAGCTCGCTGCTTCAGAACATTATAGGCAAAATGAAAGTTTCACGTAGAGAAACAGGCTGTAATACCACAGTTCACAGTTTTAAAGTTAACTAGCCATGTTATCAACTTACTGCTGCTGTCATGTTTATTTCTGGTGTCATAGTGTGCCTACCTTGAGAAGCTAGACAGAGAAAGTGAGGGGTACTTAGAAGTACCTCCTTTTTGACTTTTGACCTGGAAGTCAAAAGAACTGTTATGTCTGCAGCATCTGAGTTGTGAAGATCAGCTGCACATGGTTCTTTATGTCAGAAGGAAAGGTGGTAACAGTGTAGATCACTAGGGCTTCTCTCCTGGAAGAATATGAGAATTAATCTCTGTCAGAAAGCAGACTGATGGAGTGAATTAGTTGGAGCTGGAAAAATCCATGAGTCTTTGAAAATTAAAATTCTATGAACCAAGCCCTTTGATTAATTTCTAGATATGAAATTAATCGTACTTGAAACACAGAGATGCCTGTTTAGGTTTTACTTGTTTTATCTGAGAACTTTACTGTGTTATACTGGTTTTTTTCTAAAATTTGAGTTGATATGTTAGTTGCCAAGATAAAGGGATTTCTTTCTTTATAAAATCTAACATTTAAATGTTTTATAAGGTGGCACATCTTAATGACAGAAAGCATGCGTTATTCCAGCAACAAGTTAATATTTTCTTTGTTATAGTTGCTAATTGTTCTTTTCTTGTTAGTCAGGTTTAGGAATTTAAACTACTAAGCAATGGCAAAGAATTCCAGTGACACAAATCACTTACTGCATACATAAACCTATTCCAGTTTTAGTTGTTTATGTACCTGCCTGTGAATATCTTGGTGTCTTTCTTGCTGCAGCATTATTTATAAAAACAATCATACTAATTGTGAGCAAGCAGAATATCAACTGTATGGGTTTTATTCAGCGTAAAGGCTTAAATTAACAGCAAAGCTGTGTGTGCCGTCTGCTGTGCTTGGGCAATGCCCTGGCTAAAACTTGAGGCCAGATGCCAGCAATACCTCTGCAGGAGGCAGTGCAGAGAAGTATCTAGGCAAAATGTGCTAACAGCAGTTCAGGGAGTAGCATCCCAGGCCACGTTTATCCCATTCTGAATTGTCTCTTGTCATAACAGTAGACTTCCTGTAAACTAAGGTATTATTTATGCTTGTGTTAGCCTTTCTCAATGGGATGAAGGAAGGTGGTAAACCTCATTTGGCTCAATTGAGCCAATAAATGTCTCAGTAGCTTTTATTGTAACTCACTCTAGTCACTCTAAGTGATTGTATTGCTGTGTACACTGCCAGACTGTTGCATGATAGACAGCTGCATGTTAATTTTATATTACTAAAATTTTCTTTTAACTATTTAAGAGTATTTAAGGCTTTTTTCCTTCACTATGGAACTACTTCTCTTTGCAGCCTCTGCCTGGTACCTGTCACTCTCCTACTTTCAAATTGTTCCCAGGCTGTTGTGGATGTGATGATTGATTTACGACATAAAACAACAAGGTAATGTGTGGATGTTGTTAGTAATATCTGAGAATGCTTTCTAGTTCTGGGGAGTCTTGTAATGTTTTGACTGTATTGAATATTTACAAAAGGACTTTTTCAACAGTGGTGTCTTTGGAAGAATGGAAGGCGATAAAGGCTTCCCACAGTCTGAGAGCCTTCAGTCAGGGCTCAATTTTACTTTGCCTATTGCTAAGGCAGGACCTTGGATTGTGACTCTTGAATAGTTCTGCAGATCTCTTCTTGAAAAGTGGAAATGCTTTTGAACTAGTGCAGTACAAGCTTCAGCAACCTTACTTTATTAAATTTAAGTTGGGTTTTCATTTTTTAAAAAAATACTAAGTAATTTATAGAAAACAACTTTTGAAGTTTAAGCAAGAACTACGTCTGCTATTTGGCTTAGTATAAAATGTTATAGAACCTTAGGTATTTTTAAGAGTTCCCCAAGGTCTATCAGCTGATTCTTATGACTAGCTTTTTGCTTAGAACTGTAGTATTGTATGAAAACATTAGTACCGTGGAGAGAGAATTCAGTACCATGATACACCATTGTTACTTCTGCCCCTTCTGTTAAAACAAGGCAATTTTAACTCGTGTGTAATTCAGGTGACACCCCCCTTCCCCCTGGTAGACATAATGCTGCTTGATCTGCTTATCACAAAATAGACTGTGGGATTCTTGACGAATATTCTTGGGGAGTCATGAAGGATTCTTGGGATCATGAAGACATTGAGGTAGGCTTAAATCACAGGGGGACATTGGCTTCTTACCAGCAGTGTCCATCCAGGCAAGTAAGAAGTTGAAAGCTCAGGGCCTAATACACAGGTCAGAAACAGAGGCAGAAGACTTAAGTCTGGTTTAGTTATCAGTTAAGACTGGGAAGCTCTTCACTGATTTGGTGTTTGTCACAAGCAGCGTATATCCATGTTGACTGTTGCTGTGTGATGTGCACTCTGATTTAACTCGAGCTCATGGGACGGGCCTTAGAGTGCTTTATGTAGGCATTCCTAGAACTGTGACAGTTTGGATGCTGTTACTAAGCATTGTTAGAGTTACAGGCTGATTCTGTAGAAAGCTGGGAGTACACTGGAATTCATAATTATACATATATGTATAATTGTTTTGTTTATAGTGTACGGTATGTTAGGAAGCAAAGAAATGCTTTAAAGATTTGTACTGATCCATCTGTGCCAAGGGGAAGCTGCTGTAAAAAGCATGTTGAGTCAGAGTACATGGGAAAGTGTTTAGTAGGAATTAAGGACCTGGAGTTGAACTGGGCTGATAGGGATCCATGAAGGGTCCTGAGATACTCTGAGATATCCTGGATATTCTGTCTCACTGTGTGTCTTTGTGGGGATGGGTGAGTGTGTGTTTGTGGATGTAGATGTAGTAGGAAAGAGGATGTATAGTCATAACCTGTTTTTTGAAGCTTCATTTAGTGTCTTGGTAAAATGTTAAGGGCAGTTCTGTCTGTACCTGTGATTACAACTGTTATCCTTTGGAAGTCTAGTTTTGTATTGCTGGAAGAACCTTAGGCCCTTAAAGGTAAGTGTGTGAAACAGTGGATTTGGGGAAGGCAGTGACTTAAGAGAAACTACTGTGGGCAAGTAATCAAAAAGACTCAGCAACTTCCAAGACATCAATGACAAAGGACAGTGAGCACTCTCACATCCAAAGACTGCCAGAGTAGTTCCCACTTCCTGAACTTCAAAAATAATCTTTCAGAAAGTCTAGCAAGCCTATCTTTAAGGGGCTGGTGATGGACACACAGGGCATTCTGAAATCTTGGGAAAACTTGAGATTGAGGGACTCATGTGAACTGCTAAATACATGCTTCAAATGTAGAGAAATAACACTGTTACCTTCTTTTTCAGCCCAGAAGCACTAGAAATCCATGGATCTTTTACATGGCTTGGGCAAACACAGTACAAGCTTCAACTTAAAAGCCAGGAGGTCTATAGCTTGCAGCTGAAAGCTTGCTTCGTTCATACAGGTGTCTATAATCTTGGAACCCCCAGAGTATTTGCCAAGCTAGTGGACCAAGTTACTTTGTTTGAAACGAGTCAGCAGAACTCCATGCCTGCACTGATTATTATCAATAATATCTGACCACTTCTTGGGGAAAAAAAAAATCACACTAAAAGACAAAATATTCTTTTCTTATCTTGCTGGTTGACGTTTTACTGCAGTTTTTTTGGAAATAGCACCTCAGACATCTAACTTGTTACTAAAGATTGTGTAGGAAAGAAAATAGCAAAATATTCAGATGACTTGTCAGTTTGTTTCTCAATGCAACGCACGTTGGACTGAAAATATGTTTATCCTTTTATAATGTATTTCTTCTCTGGTAATTAAGATATTGATAACACGAAATACCCTCTAACTCCAAATCTGAACATACTTGTATGTCCTATGCCCTGTCAGAAATGCAGCTTGACTGCTTTTACAACTTCCAGCATGGTGTGTTTAATATTTGTGGCTGTATTAGAATATGGTTCAGGAAGAAACCCTCATTGGCTTGTTCCTGTCTGAAGCCATTAGTCATGATAAATCCCAGCCTTACTGTGAAGTTCAATAAGGCCTCTCGAATCCATTTCTGTATCTCAGTTCTTTAGTTAAAAAAAAAACTTGGTTTGAGTTTTCATGTTTATGGAAACCGGTGACCTCTCAAGGTTTACATACAAGTCCCACATAAGGTGTTAAAAAACATAATTTCTTCAACCAGTTTGAGTATTTTCTCATTCATCTCAACACAGAATGCACTATTTCACAATGAGAAGATTGTCATTGAGATTGTCACTTACTTTATTATGTAACTATAACAATTGATATGTTTTAAAAAAAAATCTACTCAAGATTTTCAAGAAATGTATTATATTTATAACAAATGTACTGTAAATAGAATAAAACATACACCATATTCACTGTATGGACTTGTGGCCCTTTTTCCTTTCATACAGCTGTAGCAGTCTACAGGTGCTGACACTGTGGATACAGACTGTGTACTGTCTTCATTGTGGCCCTCTGCTTGGGTGAAGTTCCTGTCCCGTTGCCATGGGTAGCATTGGTGTACATGGAAATTTGTGGTGGATGCTGTATTTTGTGTTCTTACCCAGTGTCTCCAGGTACGACTCGGAATTCAGCTGTCTGGGAAATGTCAATTACTTGCTGTGTGCTGGGGATCTTTGCTTTGAGCTGCTCAATGTAGAGAAGGCTGCCTGAAGCCACCAAGTACAGCAAAACCAGCCAGAAGTTATGGTTTATCATGGGTTGGACGAGTACAAGGAGGATCAAGCACCTGAAGAAACATAAGACTTCTGACAGTCTGCTCTGTCTTGTGGCTGAAGGAAACTTCTTAATAGGACAACGTTGGCTTAGGAAACAGTACATCTGTCTTCTGATGCATTTTTTTTTTTCTTTTTATACACAGTTTCCTGTTTTACTCACTCAGTCCTACTGTATGACTGGCTCTAGGACTGAAGGACTGCCTTTTCCTTTCCCATTCACAGCACATGACCTTTCCTAGTCGCACTTAATGACTGTGGATCATGTTCATGAATCAGTAGAATGCTGGAGTGTTATCTAACGATGAATACGGTGCTTCAGGGGTTGAGTTACTCTTTTTTCTGCTTTTGGGCAGGTTGAAAGACTACTCCCTTTTAAATGATTCTTGCCATCAGTCCTCTTTCTGTCTTGGCACCCTTTTGGGAAAAGAGAAGTCATTACTCTTGCCATTCAGCTCTCCAGCTGTAGGCCACAATGTTCTGAGTCACGGTCGGTGTGTTTTTAAGACTTCTCCAAATAGTTGAGTGGCACAAGTCGTCATTCTGAGGGAGGATGTTTCTGTAAGAGTTTTGTGAGTTCTTGGTCAGAAGCTTAACTGCTTTTTTTTTTTTTTTTAGCCAGTCAGAACAAACTGGTAAGAAATGGTGTCTCTTGTGATTTGGAAGTTGCACTCTTGTAAAAAGCAGGCTTGACTACCAGTGCAAAACTACCAGGCTGTGCCATACTGGTGATGGGTATATAACTTGTCAGTGACCCTAACTTGTAGGTTAAATAAACCAACACTTGCTGCTTAGGGCTGATCTAGGTAAAAAGCTGTGATAAAACACATTATGTATCTTGTCTTGGAGGAAGTGCATTGTCTGGACTGACCATGTTTCTGACAATTTTATAGGGCTGTTGTGAGCTAACGATGTGGAAAGAGCTGGAGTAATGCTTTATTCGGCATGGATAAAATTAGCATCCTCCTCAATACACAGTTTTGAGATGCTGTTCTATGTTTGTGTCTAGGCACGAATTTTTTCTATGTGTACCAAAGCGTTCTTGGTAATGCTGCACAGCAGGGCAGGCTGTCAGCCCTATACGTATGCCAGGCTCTGATTTTGCTGTAGACACAATATCCTGTGGCTATAAAAATCCACCCCAAACAAACCAAGCTTGTGCTTTTTCTTCACACTGAAGTGAAACCTCCCTTTTATTCTCTCTCCTGATGTGGTGATGACAAAAACACTGAATTTTTTTACCTTGTCGTAATCTAAGACCATTTACTGAAAAGCAGTGATTCTAACTTGTAAAGCTTGGCATACTGTTACAGAAGGCTGCTGTCATGCTGTGTCCAAGGAATGACTATTCTGTAACCATTAACATGCTTTGTTTCTATATTGACACTGGTACCTTCATGCTGCGTTGCTGACGGTGCACGTTATGCCGTGTAAAAAGCACGGGGCTCTCCAAAATACAGGTTCAAAATGTAGTTGTTGGCGTGTCGGGACAGAAGCTTATTGTGTGATTGCTTAGGTGAGGAGCCTAGCATGGAGATGGAGCTAAACCTGGCTCCTTAATCAATTCTCATATGGAAAACTGTGTGCCCATGTGTGGACCCACCCTGATGATGAAAACCAGTTGTATTGAAATGAAAATGGTTTGGTTTTGCTATTGAGCAAGTAAGTGTCTCTGCACAGGTTGAAACTCTGCTACCTCCAGGACAATACTCCAGAAGAGGAATCCTGTGAACTTCCTGCAAGGTGCAAGAGCGTCCTAATGCACCGTTTATCTACTGTGAGTTGTAACGGCCCCATGACAGATGCATCTTACTTTGAGGGCTGCTTCTAGCTATCTCGAAAGTGCCTAGATCCAGGGGATCTTTGTCTTTAGGAATCTAATGAATTTCCGGTTTTTAGTACTTCTGTAACATAAAACCATGAAACTTGCCAAGCTGGGTGTTTTGGTGAAAAGCAAAAATGCCCAGTTTCATTCTGGGCCTGGTGGGGAATTGGGGAATAACTCAGTCTTGTATTACATAGAGCGCAGAAATAATTTTATACATTAGTAGACATAAAAAGAGACTTTTCAGTTGAGCTGTGTCACCAACAAACTTGTTCCTGAAATGAGGCAAGTTCTGCCATCGATTTCGTACTTCAGGGCATACGCTTACTCCATCCTGTGCTGTGGGAATTCAGGTGTTTCTAGGCCTGCCAAGGTCGGTGAAATGTTGCACTGGCAGATAACTGCTTGGTGCAGTGCAAGCCTGGAGTAGTAAGGTTTTGTGGTGTCCTCAGTGGGCTGTGAGGTTGTGATAGCAAGCATGCAGTGTTTCTGAAGGCACAGTTTGGGAATGGAGAGAATATCGATCCATGCAGCTGATGACCTCTATACTTCACGTCACTTCCTTAACCTTGAAAGTGAATTCTAATATTTGAATCCATTGAATAGGGGCATAAATGACGCTCATAGTACGGCAGCTAAACTGTTTCTTTGTGTGCTACTCTGCTCTCTCTGGTAATTTAGCCAGCCTCTTCTGTTTCTAGCTCTGTCGTATAAAACTGCGGAAAGTTATCTTCAGTGTTTAGTTTCCATGTGCAATTGGAGTAGGATGACTCCAACCCCAGAGGTGTAGTTTGCTCACAGAACTTGTATATGTTCATGAGCCTGTGTAACCGCGAGCAGTGTTTTGTGTTGTTCTGCTTTTATGAACTGTGACATCTCCAAAGTACTTGAATATATCTACTCTATAGTAGCTTTAATTACTATATTCCTATATTCCCATGGCATCCTCATAGACAAGTTTAGGAGATATGGACTGGACCACTGGGCAGTGAGGTGGATTGGGAACTGGCTGGAGGAAAGAGCCCAGAGTGTTGTCAATGGGGCAGAGTCTAGTTGGAGGCCTGTGGCTAGTGGTGTCCCCCAGAGGTCAGTTCTGCATCCAGCCCTGTTGAATATGTTCATCAGTGACCTGGACGA